GCTGAAACAGTCTGAGTGCACAGACAACTAAAAAGGAATAGATTCTTTGAAAAAACCTATGTCTACCTTTATTTGGTACTTTAAAATTCTTGCTGTATTTGCAGCTCAGTGCACTGGACATCACTACTTCAGGTGGTCACATCTTATTTATAATGGTTGAAATTCACTCTGTGCTGAACAGGAAGTTAATTTGGGGAAGACAAACAGAAATTGTTCCTTTCTGTATGGTCTTGCCACAACACACTGAGAACAGCCAGTGCAGGCTTTTCAGGAGACCCAAAATTTGTTTTAGTAGTGTGTAGTTATTTGCACTGGTGTGTATACAGTACACCAGTGCTGGAGGTGTTTGGGGTGTGAATGTAGTGACAGTGTTCAGCAAAAACTTCCAGTGTAATAGGCCTTTGCATGTTCCTTTTTCAGAGTTAATAATGAAGCTAAAACTGGAAGTCAGGAGCCACTCAGTCCAAAGTCACTCAGCTATGTAATTTTAATTTAGTCTTTCTGGCTAGTCTTCTAGTTACTTGAGCTATGAGATGCAGTCATCTGAGCACCTCACATCCCTGGCTTGCTTAATGCCAGCAGGACAAAAAACTTCTCAATGTTCAGTTGTACTGTGTGGGCAACATTTTGTGCATCACTCTCTCAAACTTTAGTTGCAGCTCTGAAAGGTCCTGGCATACCCTCTGGTACTTCCAGAGCAGACCCCACTTCTGCACTAAAGACAAAACCAGAGCTTATTCCCATCTCTTATAATCCTAGTATCATCAAGGCTGGAGGAGACCTCTAAGATCATTGAGTCCAACTATTAACCTGACACTCTGCTGTAACCCCTAAACCCTAAACCATATCCTCCAGTGCCAGATCCAGATGCCCCTTCAATGCTTGTGACTCCACCACCTCTCTGGGCAACCTATTTCAGTGCCTGACAGCCCTAACAGGGGAAACATTTCTCCAAACATCTAATCTGATTCTCCCTTGTCTCAGTTTATGACCATTCCCTCTAGTCCTCTCCCTGCAGCCATGGCAGGAGAGACCATTCCCTCATCTCTCTACAGCCCCCTGTAAGAGTCACTTGTAGAGAGCCATGAGGTCACTTGTGGTCTGTCTCTTCTCCAAGTTAAACAAACCCAATTCCCTCAGCCCTTCCTCATCCCACATGTTTTTCAGACCTTTTCTGCCCTTGTTGCCCTTGGCTGAACTCACTCTAGTGCCTCAATATCCTTTTTAAAGTGAGGGGCCCAAAACTGAGCACAGCACTGAGCTGGGACCTCCCCAGTGCCCAGTCCAGGGGGATGATCACTGCCCTAGTCCTGCTGGTCACACTGTTCTTGATGCAGGCTACCATTGGACTGGACTTCTTGGCCACCTGTGCACACTGCTGGCTCCTATTGAGCTGTGCCACCAGCACTGCCAAGTCCCTTTCTGACGGACAACACTTGAGTCTCTCCTCCCCCAGCCTGTAGTGCTGCATGGGGTTGTTGTGTCCCAAGTGCAGGACCCTTCTCTTCTTGGTCTGGAGCAGGGGTTGAGGAACTGAGAATGGTGTTTGCAAGCTAAGGGATAGAGCAGGAGTGTTAAGAGGCAAGGCTGGTGGAGACAGAGAAGTCTCTCTCTGTAAACTCCCTGACTTGTTGGAAATAAGAAACACTACTGTTAATGACCTGACTTGTCTGTTCTTGTCATTGCAGGAGCTTTAACCAGTCTAACAAAAAAACAATAAACTTAACAGTTTTTAAGAATGACAATGGTTTGTGTTTCAATGGAAAAATGAAGTTTGAACAAAAAGTGATGAGCACAAAAACTGGAAAGATTATATGCCCTGATCTAGAACAGTTTAAAGATGAAGACAAGAATAAGCCTGAAGTACATTGGAATAAGGTATTGTGAATGTGAATTATATACAAGATACAAAATATTTTATGTAAAATGTCTCATGAAGTAACTGTGAAAAGCAGCTTTTGGAAGGGAAAGTTTCTTTTCTTTATAGCTTGATAAGGCTTGAGTTTGAGTAAGACTTGTGAAAATCTGGTTTATCCTTTGATTATTTTATGTAGATAATAAGCTTCAAAACTTGTATGTTTCTGTAAGTACAAGGCCTTGCATAATTATTTCAGTTTCACATGATCTGAGGCATGTTCTATCTGTTCATCATGGTGTGGTGGTGTTGTGCCATTTGCTTTGATTCTAGCAAAACACTCTGTAGACTGGTGCAGGCTTAGAAACATGTATTTTGCCCATGTTAAGGTAAAATTCTGAAGTAATTCAACTCCTAATTCTGATCATAGAATCATAGAAGCATCAAGGCTGGAGTAGACTTCTAAGATCATCGAGTCTAACAATTAACCTGTCACTGCTGGAACCCCTAAACCCTAAACCAGATCCTCCAGTGTCAGATCCAAATGCCTTTGAAACACATCCAGGGATGGTGACTCCACCACCTCCCTGGGCAATCTATTCCAGGGCCTGAACATCCTAACAAGGAAAACATTTTTCCTGTCATCTAATCTTATCTCCTCTGTCTCAGCTTATGACTCTTCCCTCTAGTCCTCTGATGCCTGAGGCTGATATTAAAGCAGTTACATGGTCCGTACATGTAAAATAACCCTGGTGCTGCATTTATACCTCTTTTGAAGTGAAGGGATTCTCCACTGCTTGTAAGTCAGGGAAGAGAAGGAAGTTTTTAACTGTATTCACATTGCCACAGAAATGATGGGACACCCGAAGAGCACAGGGCACTGCTGCAGCAGCTCTCATTCATCACAGTGAAGTAAGGGTGCAGGCACATGCTCCATAAACTCTGCTACATGAGCAATAACTTCTGTTATTCCTGAGATAGATAACTGTCAAGCTATTAATGAAGGCAGTGAACTTAAAGAAGTGTTTGAAAACTGAAAGGATTGCCTGCAGTGATTTTTTAAAAGTGCAAAGGCAGCAAGATGCCATCAGGCTTCAGATTAGAGTGTAGTGATGCTTGAGTAAGAGCCCACACCATCCTCAGGGGTGACCTCCTGGCTCTCTACAACTCCCTGACAGAGGCTGGAGAGAGGTGGGGGATGTGTGTCCTGCCATGGCTGCAGGGAGAGGACTAGAGGGAATGGTCATAAGCTGAGACAGGGCAGAGTCAGATTAGATGTTAGGAAAGATGTTTTTCCTGTTCATGTGTTCAGGCACTGGAATAGATTACCCATGGAGATGGTGGAGTCACCATCCCTGGAAGTGTTGATGATTCTATGATCATGGATTTCAAAAAAGTCAGTATTTGCTAAGTACTTTAATAAGCAGTAATGTTCAGTAATTTATTTAATTATCAAGTACTTAGTTCCCTTAATTCACAGGTACTTTTGGTTTTTTTAGGAGTGTAAGCCTGGATTTCTTGAAGATAAGAGACTTCTTTTGGCAGAGGGTGAAAATGCTGTGTTGATTCGTAACGTAAGTGTACAAGACAGAGGAAACTACACATGCCATATGGTGTATACCTACATGGGAAAACAGTATAATGTTTCAAGGACCATAAGTTTGGAGGTTAAAGGTGAGTGCAGGAGCTTATTCTCTTTTTGGTTCTTCTGTTAATATTTGTCTGCAGGCATAAGATATTTGGCATATTGTTTTCAGCTCTGTGAAATGAGAGTTGTGAATCTTCTTTGATTATTTATTCCTGAACATAAAATTGAAATAAAATGAGGCATGTTGCTACCCTTGAACATTGCTTCTGAGGAAGCTTCATGGGAAGATGAGAAATGCAGGGTTAGGAATGAGAATGAGGAGGCAGTGGTTACTGTGGTGGAGGTGCTGGTTTAGCAAAAACAAGTAATGCAGCATTAGATGAATTTTCAAATAAAGGAATTTTTTTCTGAGCCTGTCACAGCAAGCCACCTGCTTCCAGCCCTGTTGGTGAACTTGTGTACAAAGTTCACTAGAATCTCAGTTGATGAGAAAGGAGAAGTGACAAGGTATATAAACTTTATGAAGTTCATAAAATTGGCTTACTATTGGCACTTGGTTCTGCTTTTCTGCACACAGACTGTGGAACTGGATGTCTCACACTCCCAATACTGTCACTTATTGCTGTTGTCATTGTGGTTGTGTCTTTGTGGGCAGTGTTGCTGGTGATTTGACTAGTAACAAGATAGTAGTACTATCAGAATAGCTGGTTGGAGATGTGTCCATCTTTCTTTAGATTAAATCAGAATTCTGATTTAGATAGGTGTGTAAGAACAGTGGGTTGTTAGCAGTCAGTCTATACATCATGCAGAATTATACAATTCCAGCCCAGTTTAAATATGTGTTTGTTTAAACTTTTATGTAAATAAATATTCACCTTAAAATCATAGAACCATCAAGGTTGGAGAAACCTTCAAGACCATTGAGTCCTACCATTAACCTGTCACTGCTGGAACCCCTAAACCCTAAACCAGATCCTCCAGTGTCAGATCCAGATGCCTCTGAAACACTTCCAGGGATGGTGACTCCACCACCTCCCTGGGCAATCTATTCCAGTCCCTGAACACCCTCACAGGGAAAATATTGTTCCTTACATCTCATCTGACTCTCCCCTGTCTCAGCTTATGACCATTCCCTCTAGTCCTCTCCCTGCAGCCATGGCAGGACACACATCCCCCACCTCTCTCCAACCCTGGCAGGGAGTTGCAGAGAGCCGTCACCCCACCCCTGAGTTGCCTTTTCTCAAGGCTAAACAAACCCAATTGCCTCACTCCTTCCTCATCCCACATGTATTCCAGACCTTTTCTGCCCTCATTGCCCTTGGCTGGACTCACTCCAGTGCCTCAATATCCTTTTTAAAGTGAGGGGTCCAAAACTGAGCACAGTACTCAAGGTGTCGACCTTATCTCGGAGGTCATTGATACAATCCCTCTTTCTCTTCGTCAAGGCTAAACAAACCCAATTGCCTCACTCCTTCCTCATCCCACATGTATTCCAGACCTTTTCTGCCCTCATTGCCCTTGGCTGGACTCACTCCAGTGCCTCAATATCCTTTTTAAAGTGAGGGGTCCAAAACTGAGCACAGTACTCAAGGTGTCGACCTTATCTCGGAGGTCATTGATACAATCCCTCTTTCTCTTCGTTATCCATCTCCCTGACAAACTTAATTGCAGTTTTTGATTTTGTCTTTGGGGGTTTGTTTAGTTTTGTTTTGTATTACTTTTATATCAGTAAATCTGAGTGGGTTTTTTTTTGGTTAAAGAAATTATTGTTAAGGTAAGATAAAGCCTTTTTTTAACTTGAGAGTTAAAGCAGTAATTTGGATAGAGCAAGTCTTACCAGCTATTTCCAATGCAAATTTGAAACTGGTAGTAGTTATGGCACTACAGTAGTACCAAACAATAAAACCACAAAACCATTGTAAAACTATCAGTTGAAGTAAGTTGTGGAACTATTCCTGCCTGAAGGTTTTATTTCTCTCTTTCTTTCAATTAGAAAAACCACTGCAGATACAACCAGAGTTTATTTATCCGAAGAACAATACAATTGAAGTAGAACTTGGTAAGTAGTGACTTTTTAATGGATCATTAACAGTAAGTAAAATGTATAAGCTCCTGGTCTTTGTGAAATAACATGTGAAGAGTTCCACTGGCTTCAGCAAGACTGGGAGATCAGCATGTGGTTTGATAGCTGGAAGATAGATTATAGGTGAGAGAGAACATGATTCTCACAAGTAATTTACAGGGGGAAATAACTGTGTGCCAAAGATTGGAGTCTCTTGGCCATCAGTGTTGTGTGGGATGCAAGTATTTATTTGGTTTTTTTGTTATTGCCCTCTGTCCTTTCTACCACTTCTCATGTCTGTGTCTTGACATATCCTCAGTATCTATGGGAATGTGGTTGTATATATGTAGCATGTTAGGACAGTTACCAGTTGATCAGTTCAGTAGTTTTTCCTCCTCCTGTATATTTGTGTCTCACTTCCCTCTCCACAACCTGGATTTTATTCCTTCCTCTAGGCTAAGAAAAGATTTTGGATGCTGATCTTTTGTGAAAGAGTGAGATGTTAATTGGTGGATATCCCAGGTAGTGTTTGTCTTGGAAATTTCTTAAATAAGAGATTCTGGATATAAAGAATAATGTTCTCCCAGTGAGGACAGCCAGGCAGTGCAGCAGGCTGCCCAGAGAAGTTCTGCAGTCTCTGTCCTTAGAGGTTCTGGAACCTGACTGAATAAAGCTCTGAGCAGCCTGGTCTGAAGTGAGATGTTAATTGGTGGATATCCCAGGTAGTGTTTGTCTTGGAAATTTCTTAAATAAGAGATTCTGGATATAAAGAATAATGTTCTCCCAGTGAGGACAGCCAGGCAGTGCAGCAGGCTGCCCAGAGAAGTTCTGCAGTCTCTGTCCTTAGAGGTTCTGGAACCTGACTGAATAAAGCTCTGAGCAGCCTGGTCTGACCTCAGAACTGGCTTTCAGCAGG